CTACACATAGTACAGAGCTTCTCACAACTGGCATCTTTCTAGCAATCAGAGGTACTGGAATTACCAAGTATTTCGGCAGTGTTGATGGTTCGTCTTAAGCTCACTCATGTGTCTTTGCTATCTACAGAGTCTTCCTTCGATCCAAACACACTCCAGAACTTCTCTCTGCTGGCTGACTATTATTCCTGTCATTTTACTGATTTTTTAAAAAAAGTTTTTGTATTTCTAGGGATCATGCTGTGCATGATGCCTTATCTGTAAGAGGGTGTGTTCTATTATTCTGCTCTCATTCTGTTAGCTGTCCAGAGTGCCTCCACCACTAATTGGGTGGAATAACAATGTATATAAATAAAGGATATTGTCCTTACAGGACCTCAACATTTTCGACAGAGGTTGAGAAATGGAACTTTAAAAAAAAAAATCCAACCCAATCCAAACAAAAAGCATTCCTACTTATAAAGCACCAATACATGATGGAAAGGACAAACATAAAGCCCTTCTCTTTCCCGTATGCAGAAGATTTTGCTTCTGCTTCCTCAGAAGGGGACACCATGAAAAAAGCTCTGGGCCATTCAGTTCCTTCACCTGTAGTCTGAAGTGATATGCTCTAGTAGGGATGTACCACATTTTAAGTCAGTTCTGAGTATAGTTTTATGGGGTATTATAAATATATTTACAGCTGAGGCCTACAGCCATGTTCCCAAAGAATTCCACTCTACTTAAATGGGATTTCACTACAATAATACAATACAAGATAGTCTCATTGAAATCCTAGTTTGATTACAGCCTCTATTGCAGCCAGTTTCAAAAAGGTAAACTATAATTAATGAGTCACCGCTGCCCAACAATTCAAGGCCCAAATTAAACTTTACCCATTACACCCTAGTCTAAACACAACAGAGTAGGAGGGAGAGCTCCCTTCAAAACATTTGGATTATGTCCATGTAATGCGGTTAGATTATAGTGTTTCAGCCTCTTCCTACATCACAGATTAAAAAAAATTACACTCAGCAACAGGTGTCTATTCCACCATAAAGACACAGAACCTGAGCACCTAGTCTTTCAGGGCCATACGCAATGTACCCACGTGCAGCAAAATAAAAGTGCAACGTTGCTTTGGATGAGCATCATACATTTAGTGTACACTAGGCATGGGCAAAACTCTCAGCATTCCTCATGTGGCACTCAGCACTCCTCAAAAAAGCAGAGCTTTTTTGAATGGTTCAACTACACCTGATGGCTGCACTGTCCTCAGTCTTGACATACACTGTCTACAAGATACCATGTAGACTTAAGCTAGGAATACCTCACTTTTAATTTTGTTATCTCAATAGTTTCCAGCTAATTTTTAGAAGCATAGTGCAGAACCTTTTCTGACACATGCTTAAAAATATATCATCGGGTCTCCATACACTGTAATTCCCAACACACCCTAACTGTACATAATTAGAATCATGTTTCACAACAGTTCATGCAAGTTTCAAGCAGGTGCCCTTAGAATTAAGATTTTTCCATACCATTAGAAAAAAATCATTTTGCTCTCTCACCAACTTATTCACTAGATACCTTGATATATATCAAATTCTTTGTAATTCACTGAATAGAAAACACCCTCTAGATCACTGGTTCTTAACCTTGGGTACCCTCTAGATCACTGGTTCTTAACCCTGGGTTACTCAGGAGTTTTGGACTGCAACTCCCAGAAGCCTTCACCAAGAACTGTGCTGGCTGGGGTTTCTGGGAGTTGCAGTTCAAAAGCATCCGAGTAACAAAGGTTAAGAACCACTGCTCTAGATAGAAGAACGGTGCAGAATGCATTCAATATTATCGAAATGTTTGCTATGGTAACCTCCTAAGCTACTAATGGCAATAAGCTTTTTTAAAAAAAAGTGACAGGAAAACCCATACCTATGCGGAACTACATTCTTACCAATGAAGAATTCCACATTAGAGCTGTACTTTCCAAGAGAATAAAGTGGCAAAGCAATCAACTTTCTTGAAGACTTCTAAACACCTTTTATGATGACAGCAGATACAATAATTCTACTGAAACTCATATGGGACATCGCTCTGGTCCATTATCGACCAGACCAGATGGGCGGGATATAAATCAAATATATAAATAAATAAATAAAATATATAAACCAGAAAAGGCCTAGAAATAGTGTTGTTTTTAAAGAACCAACAAATTAAGGGCTACTTCCAACTGTTATTCCGACCTAAAGCAAAACTGTCAAATAAATTAGACTTGTTATGTCAACACTTTTGTAACTCCAGCTGATTTAACAGTCTACTCTGTTTGTGACTATTAATGATTTAGCCTTGGAAGTATTTGGTCTAGATGTGGATCCTTCCTGCTCTTCATTACATGAGATGTTCTTGATTGCTTTGCAGCCGGTAACTTCATATATGAAAATGCCTCTAAATGGAGCTGATTCCCAAGTTGTATGTGTTTTCTTCCAATTCATACTAAACCTACAGATGAGGCATAAGATTATTGTTTTCTTCCAACATCAAGTTTTTTTTTTCACAACTACAATCCAGAGCATCCTGGATTATTCTAGTTTCTACTGCAGTTAACTACTGTGTGCATCCTCAGATTTCGGGATTCAGGTGCAACCTCCACAGGGGCAGATGAACATGAAAGCAAAAACAAACAAACAAAAAAGCCACTATATTGTCGAATGCAAGAGGGAGGGAGAAGAGCGGAGGTCGGGAACCGAAAGAGAAGAGCAAAGTATACCAATAGTTGTAGCCCAAGTCCCACAGGCGGAGGCACCAGCAGCAACGGCAAGGCAGGGGAGGGGGGGGGAAGGGGTTGGGCTTCGTGTAACTTGGTGCCACCCTAATCACTTTTCCTCATAACAACTGCGGGCAGCAGCTGGGGCTCTTGCCCTGGTCCCCACAGGCCCGCCACCAGAAGCAAAGCAGCCAGGCAGAAGCGACCAGGGAGGGGGGATCCGGCTGCCAGCCCCGACGGCGATGAGGGCGGCCGAGGGCGCAGCGCTGTTGGAGAGCCCCGCGCGCGCTCCCCGCCCGGTGCTCGGCGTGTGGGTTTAAAGATCACTTACCCCGCCATTCCGGGGGGGGGGAGGAGGGGGAAGGGAGAGGGAAACCAGAGCACCGCCAAACTATAAGGAGGCCTCGTTTCCACCACCACCACCACCACCAAGTGATGGAGCCTTTCCATTTCCTGTCCTCCTCCTTCTGCATCCTGAATTATTCTCCTGGAAGGGTTATCCCAAAAATGGAAAAGTTCAGAAGAAGTTGCCTTGGAATGGCCTTTTTTCTTTCTCTCTCGCTCCTACGCTCCCAAGTGAGAAAGAGAAAGTACATCCGAAGCGGTCGGCCTCGCCACTCGCCCAAAAAAGCAAATACAGGACATTGGCGGCGGGGGGGAGTCCCCGAGGGTATGTAGCAGCGAGCGAGGGAGCGAGCCAGGGGGAGGCACTCCCGCACCCCAAACGCCCAGGAACTTTCCGCCACCGAAGCGGGGCGGCCAACGTCGAAGCAAACGGCACTCGGGGCAAGCGCCCCCTTTCGGAGAGCTGTTCGGGTGCGGCGCGCCCCTCCCCCGCGGGGGGGGAGGGAGCCGCGGGAACTTGCGCGGAAAAGCAGCCCAGCGCGCCAAGCGCGCGCAGAGTTGGCGCGGCTGCGGCTGCAGCGATGTGGGCGCCTCCAGGCTGTAGTACATCTAAGTGAAGCAAGCGCTCGCTCGCTCGCTCGCCTCCCCTCCCTCCCCTAGCGCTGCGCTCCGCCTGCCTGCCTGCCTGCTTGCTTGCTGCTGCTGCTGCTGCTACTCCTGCCGCCGCCGTCGCTACCGCCCTCCTTCGCCGTCTCCCGCATCAAACTTCAGGAGCCGAAAAAAAACCTTTCCGGCGGCCAGGCCGGCGGCAAAACGCGCGCAGCAGCTGCAGCGGGCGCCGCCCGACCCACGAGGGCCCGCATCTCGCGCCCACCTTACCGACGGGGAGTTTTTCCAGCCCCTGCGCCGCTACCGGGGGCTCGGGCTGAAGGGCTCGCCGGCGCTCCGCTCGCCGCCTCATTCCAATATGGCACGGTCGGGGCCCAAGCGCATGCGCCCGCC